AAAATTTATTGTAAAATAATTTCACAATTTTCTGAAAACCAAATAAAATTTCAATATGATTTTCTTCATTTAATTGAAATTGTTCTGCTATTATACTGCTATGAAAGTAAAGGTATCATGAAAATAATTTGACACTAAACGATATATATACACGTAAATGAGTGTTATAAATGTGAAAATCAGGAATTAGAATAATAAATTTTAATTTAAAAATAAAGGTCTACTACACGCAATATTAATTTCAAATATAATATAAAGAGCTACATATAAGCTCTGATACAATTTATTTAGGGCACAAAGTGGGTTACAGCACGATTTTGCTGAGCTTCCAAGAAATGTTAATGAAAAAAATCGATAATAAATATTTTTTTAAGGTTGAAATTTTATATCAGGTCTGTAATACTGTAAATTCTCTAATTGAAAGTTTTGCCAGAATTGTAAAGAAAATAAAATTGTGTTACAACCATATTAAATTTTGAAAGTCACTATTTGAGAAATTAATTTCTGAATTAAATTTTTGAATTGTGAACGTGTTTAATATTAGAATTATTTTATTTTTTAAATTTAAAATTAAATATAATTTTAAATCTTAAATTTTCGAATTTTTTAATTTTCGTCATTAATGACAATATTTCTAATTTTTATTTGTAATTCTCATAGACTCACACAATACATGAAATTAAAGTATACGTAGGTTATTTGCAATTTTTTCTTAATTTATGCCAATCTTTCTTTGCAGGTGTAAATTAGAATTTGAAGATGACACATAAAATTAAAAAAAAAATATGTATAGTAGATAGAAGAGGAAGTTTAGAAAATATTTACAAATTCATATATATACTAAATTTTTATATGTACATATAAGATATTGGTAAATATATAATATTTATATGAATATTATTATAGCGTATAGGATGACAATAACGAAGAGGTGTGAAAATTGTTAAAAGAAAATTTAACATTTAGATGTTATTTAACTTTTTATCATATAACAAAACTATAAAAAATCAAAAATATCTCTTCTTTTTTTAGCAGTTTTCCAATATAAAATTTGAAAAAAATGTTTTATTATTTTCACTTTGTATGCCCATCTGTATTCCTGTTTACAAAAGTTTTGTTTCAATACAAATAGATCTTTTTTTCCTCTAGAAGCTATAGCCCCTCAAAACCTTGAAAATGTCAACTGGTTTTTTCTTCTACCGCGAAAAAGCATATTTGAACATTAAAATAACAAAATGGCTGCTCAAATTAACCATTGTCTAAAACCCGTTTTTTGTTTTACATTAAGCTGTAAAAATTTGAAATTTTTAGATGCTAACAAATAATAATTCATTTTGTTAGAAGAAAATTTATTTTTCACGTTATTGCTTCTCGAAATTAGAAAATTTGAATTTTTGATGCCTTGTGCTTCTAAAACTATCAGCTTATCCGGATTTCTATAAAAGCATAAAAACTACCGGGAAATGTTATGGTACCAAAAAATATAATTATGTATTTATCTTAACTCACTCACTAAACCATCGAATTATGTTAACGCTTCTTTATATTTTTTTTCTTCCTTTAATCCTAAATGTATGCAACGATTTATGAAATATTTTGATATTTTAATCAAAGTAATTTAAATAGATAGAATGGATTGATAGATGAATTATTGCATTTGTTTAAGGGAAAAGTGCTACTTCACAAAACCATTGGTTTGATCCAAATTTTTATTTATTTTTATATTTTAAAAAGTTTATTCAGTTATTTTACGAGAGATAAAATGTCACGATTTATCATATTTATGATTTTTAACTATCTCTTTAACCTTTTGAAAATTACAATGCAAACAAAAATATTGATAATATAAGTTTTTTTTTTGTCATTTTGTAATTTTAAACACGATGCAATATCAAGTAAGAGTATACGTTCGTATACGCACTATAAATTTCTACGAGGGTCACTATTTATATTTCGGGTCTAGCAATAAAAAACAAGCATTTATCATTGGAAATGGTTTTATTGTTTTTCAAAATATTCCCCATGAAGATCAATACACTTTTGCATGCGCTGAAACCAATTTTCGTAGCACTTTTTCCACTCCGATTGAGACACCTCCAAAACATGGTTTTTGAACGCATCGACTGCTTCTTCAGGTGTTGAAAATCGTTGTCCACGCATTTTTTTTTTGATGTGAGGGAATAAGAAGAAGTCATTGGGTGCTAAATCAGGACTGTACGGCGGATGACCCATCAATTCGACATTTTGAGCGCTCAAATAGTCCATTGTTTCAGCTGATTTGTGAGAGCTTGCATTGTCATGATGAAGAATGATTCGCCGGCGCTTGTTTGTTTTCCTTATTTCTTCGAAAACTTTCGGCAAACAGATGGTGGTGTACCATTCAGAATTGACCGTCCTACGTTCCACTAAAGGTACTGTGGCCACATGACCGGTTATACCAAAAAAAAAGTCGATCATTTGCTTCGATGTGCTTCTTCCACGAACAACTTTTGTTGGATTTGGCTCGTCTTGGAACACCCATACGGTCGAATGCTGTTTCTTTTCGGGCTCATATGCATAGATCCATGATTCATCACCTGTGACTATCTTATAAACGTCTTTTGACGCACCGAGATTGAATTTTTTCAACATTTCTTAGCTCCAATCGACACGAGCCTTCTTTTGTGCAATCGTCAAATTTTTTGGGATCCATCGACAACACACCTTTTTCACGGCAAGATGTTCATGCAATATCTTATGTACGCTGGTGGAACTAATGCCCAAGGATGCCTCAATCTCACAGTATGTCACATGCCGGTCCATCATTATCATTTCGCGCACAGCATCGATGGTTTCCGGCAAAACGACCGAAATTGGCCGACCTTCACGAAATTCATCCTGGAGCGAACGGCGTCCGAAACCAAACTCTTGGTACCAGCGATTTACAGTGGTTTTTGATGGTGCTTCATCACCAAAAGTCCAAACAAGTTGATCGAGACACTCTTGTCTCGATAATCCGCGCCGAAAATCGTAAAAAATCATCGCACGAAAATTTTCACGGGACAATTCCATTTTTTGACCGAGATGAATTTTTCAAGTCACTGTAAACAAAACAATTCGCGCTCGAATGACAAAACGTTCTGAGTGAAGTTGTCCTAAAAAATGTCAAACTTTCCAATGGAAGTGTCAGATTGCACCTGGCAGCACTAGTATTGCCAGGACCCGAAATATAAATAGTGACCCTCGTATATGTCTATATAGATAGAAAAAAAGTCTTCATTGATTTTATGGATATAGGTTGTATATTGTTTCATTCATTCGCAAATACATGAGCGTAACGTACACGAATAGAAAAATTTATTGAGAATTAAAGGAATTCAAGGTGTTACTTTGTATTATAAACTTAAATCCTTACTCCATGTCTAGATGGAATTATTTTTAATGAAAATTTTGTAATTATAGGTATAATTAGAATGTTTATAGACATGGCGTCTTTAAACATAATACATTATTGAATCGTATTATATATGAAATTTGTAATATAATGTCAGAGGAAAGTTCAAAAACCCAAAAATTCTTATATAGGTGTGTAGTGTTATTAGTAAATTTAAATTTAACATGAATAATTTTATACTTATTTGTTATGGAAAGAGCTGTATGGCTTTGATAAAATGCAAATCTTTTTATGTAGAATTTTATAGTAGCATAAATAAACTATTATGTAGATTGAATTTATATTTAATTTTGTATTGAAATTTAAAGATTGTGCACACGAAACGATAAGATTTTCTTATTTAAGGTTTAAAACGGAGGACCTTATTACGAATCCAATGAGCAGAATAATATTTTACGTATGCCTTATATAAATTTCATATTTTTCTTCAATATAAAATAATTCGTATTTTAAAATTTTTTATAATAAACTGAAAAAAAATGAGATCTTATTTGATTTTTACAAAATTTTTTAACAAAATGAGCCAATCAATCCGTTGTGGAAGTTTAGTGTTAAAAAAAAAATTTAATTTGTTAGGAATTGATCATAAATCTTCATATATAATAAACGAATAAAAATTTTACAAGAAAAATTTCTCAAAAACCTCACGCTTACTTCGAAATTTCGCTATTTTGATATTTTCTTATGAGAGTACTCTTTAAAAATTCACTATTTCTCTTCTATAAATTGATTTTATTTTCTCATTTTATTATTAACATCTATCATAGTTTGCGAAACTCAGTGATATTCCCGAAGGAGAATTCGCCTGAACGCATTCTATTACCCTGCTTCGGAAGTACTATTGAATTTCGGACGACCTGTATAAATGTTTTTATATAGGTATTTGCATTTTTTAATTTGATGCAAATTTTGTTTCAGGATTTTTACGTTCTTTATTTCTATTTATAAATAATTTCAAATTTCTTAAGAAAATCAATTCACTTTTATTTTATAAATATCGAAAAAATTATTGCAAAAAATTAATGTTAATTTTTTTTAGTATTCATGTAGGAAAACACGTTTAAGTAGTTCGTTTGCGCTTGACATTAATTCTTTTTGTTACATTATTTAATAATTTATATTCTGGGTTACACTTATATTATATAACTTAAACATAATGCAAAAAACCTATAGAAATAGTATTGTATTTCATATTTCTATTTATGGAATCGATATTGTCTCATGAGAATTAGAATAATTTTTCTATATTTTATTTAACAAGAATCAGTAGTATTTTATATTTAATTGTCAAATACAGGAATAATTTTCTTTCCATATTATAAACTAATAATGAATTTCATTTTTGTTTAAAAATAGTGAAAACAATGTAGTATTATTGGTAGTGCGATATTTAATGAGATTTAAAAAAAATTTTTATAAAATAGTTCTCAGCTATCAGGTTCTTTACACAAAAACATTTGTCTTATAAATAAAAATCTTGTAAAATTATTTTAATTACATATTTAAACATGTTGAATGTGTTTCATGGTAACTAAATTAATTATATTTTCTTTTTTTCAATTTGTAGATTTACAAAATATAAAACGTTTTGAAAATGGTGAATTTTCAGAAGCTAAATGTCCATCATGTCGAATGTTTTTTGATAAAGGTAAAAAACGTAAATTAATTGATGCATGCGGTCATGAACGATGCTATTCATGTATATTTCGTGATGATAATTGCCCAATATGTGCTTATAATTTACAATTATTAGGTTCGTATTTATAATAACTAAATAATTAAAATTAATTTACAAAAAATATTAATAAATAAATAATTTTTACAAAATAGATAAAAATAAATCAACAAATGATTATGATACTGGTATCGGTGGTTCAACATCAACTATTGTTAGCCCAATTGGTTCACCGCAACCTCAATTCAAATTACGTAGTAGATTACAAGGTGTTATAGCGAAATCATTTCAGGTATAAAAATCTTATTAAATTAAATCTTTAACAATTTTTTTATAATTAAATATTAAAAATTGTATTTAGAATAAAGAATCAAATAATAGCGATCAATTGAATTCGAATACAAATAGTAGTGCCAATAGTAATAGTAATATAAAAAGTTCATCTGGGAATTCAAATTCAACAACACCACAAAGTAGAAGAAAATTTTTTAATTCAAAAGCAATTAAAAATACATTTGGTAGTCATAGTAGTGGAATTGGTGGTCATAGACGTGCAGCATCAAGTGGTAATAGTAATGATATTACTAAAAATCTTGGAACATCAGGTAATTTTAAAATTTTGTTATGCTATATATTATATATAAATTTCTGTTTTTGGTTTAATAATAAGAAAATCATTTGGGAGTTATGGTTTACAATTTTTATTTTATTTTTTAATTATTAATTTAAAAATATATTAATACCATAATAATGCAAATTTACTTGAAACATCAGGTGATGCAAATTTACTTGAAACATCAACATGTTCTGATTCAGTTGTTACAAGAAGACGAAAACAATTAATTAGTAATTTAAATAATGGAACAAATAATGGTGGTGGTAGCAATAGTAATAGTATCACAAATAGTGGTAGTAGTGGTACCAATAATAGTTTCGGTATTAGTATTGATAATAATCGAAATCGTTTAAGTCTTGTTGGTACATCAATATCACCTGGAAATTTATTAGGAAAAATTAAATCACTTTGGAATGCTCAATCTTGTTCTTTAAATGCTGGATTAAATCAATTAGCAGGCAATAATTAATTATTAATTAAATATGCATGTTTTTTATCACTTTTATAAGGCAATAACACGAATGACAATAATTATTAGTAATTGATTGATATTAATTTAAATTTTTAATTAATTAAAAATTTATTAACAACATTTTTTTATAGAAGACTACAAATTATTAAACTAGAATTGTATTAAAAGTAAAATTAATTACTTGTTTATTGCAATTTTGTAAAATTCTTGTATATTTTTATAATGAACTAGTTTATTAATTTATAATAGATTTTTATGATGATAATTTGAATATATGAGCTTTGTTTTAAGATAAATATAAAATATACATATTTGATGTTAGTTTAACAAAATAATATAGAGTTAAGCTCTGACATAATTAATTGAAATAAAATAGAAATGCAATTATTAGACTTACCATTACTTATCATCAGCCACATTGGCTTTATAGTTAGGCATTTCAATTTTAGATTTGAAAAATTGTTTTATTATTTTGTGCACTTTAATATTATTATATAATTTTAAGCAAGTCCGATTTGATATGAGAAAAATATCGAAAGATAAATTCAAAAAGTGAAAAAGTAATTATTGTTGAAAATTTTTAAATATCACTTATCATCATGAGACTTTTAAATCTTCTTAGTTAAAAAAGTGGTTTCATTTCAATGGCGGTTTCATTTCCATTATAAAGTAGATTTTATTGAAAAATAATTAATAATGTTAAAAACTCTTAATATGTTGTTGATTTTTCAGAAAATACAGAAATTTTTTTTATTAGCTTAATTTTTAATAATTAACTTAATTGATTTAAAAGTACACAAACAAATTATTTTTACTAGTTAAAAATCTATTAAAACTAAGTAGATACGTTAATGATTCTGGAGAAGTTCAAACTAGGCTCCTTAAATTAATATTCTTTATAAAATGTATTTTATGCCATAAGAATGGTCTAAAACTTTTTGTGAACGCAATTAAATAAAAGGATTCGTGTATAATACTCGTACGTATAGTAGCGCTTATTGAAACTGCCAAACATAAAAATATTTTTGAAATCAATTGATCACTAAGTTTAATTATGAATTTTTCTTTATATTTTATTAAAATTTAAAATCCATTTTTTATGATTTTTGTTTAAACTAGTTTTTAATTATTTTTTTCCTTTTATTATTTTAATAATATTTTATAATTACTCAACAATTCACTTAATTATAACTGACAGATTATTGATAAAATTTGAATTAATAATGCATACACATATTTGAACAAAAAAAAAAATTATAAAGTATCTTTTATTAGATTTTATTTAAAAAAATATTAATAGAAATGCGTAATAGTAGTAAATTGTAATTAAGAGAAGAAAAAACAGAAATGAGTAAGTACAGGGTGTGCGCTATACTCTAACACTATCATTGTTATAAACCTAATGTTAATTTTTATAATAATGCCATGGCAAATAATATTGTGTAAAAAATTAATTTTTCTAATATTAGAACTATTTTGCAAATACAATTAAACGAAAAAAGAAATTTCATTGAATTTGTAGTTAATAAAGGTAGCTTTTATTTGATTTTCTGAAATAAATTGTTCTTAATCTAATTAATTAAGTTTTTATTCTAAATTTACAATTTGTTTTCTTACTCATTAAAGTAAGAAAATTAATCATTAAGTTAATCATTAGGTAATTTACGTTTGAAACACCCTGTGTGTATGTCTATGCATATTTTATGCATTATAAAATTTATTATAATAAAAAAATCATGAATTTTATTAAAATATTAAATTTAATTAAAATATTTTCGCACCTGTATTTTATAACTACTGCATTACTAACTAGATAAACAAAGAAGTTTATATAATATAAAATGTATTTGAATAGAATTATAGTGTAGTTTAAATAGAAAAGAAAAATCAAAACATAATCTTTGCTGTTCAATAAATTGTTTCTTGTCTAAATTTTAATAAGCCGCTTTGAAAGTTTTAATCGGGAATTTCATTAAAAAAAAAAAACACTCAACTTGTCTCCTTACACAAGTGCGCTTTTCAAAAATTAGATAAACTTTCTGTATTCAAATAATTCTCAATTTTACAGTAAGATTTAATCGATTTTCAAATTTTATATAAAAAATAAATTTTCATTTTAATTTATAATCGTTCTTATACACCCTTCCCATAATTTCGAATAAATTTGTGTACTAAAATTCACAGAATTCATAAAATAATGAAATTTTGTAGCTTGAAGACACTATTACATAACGAAGTCATCAAGGTTGCCTTCAAATGAATTTATAATTAATTAGTGTGCAGGTTATACTTTACAAAAATTTTTTTCCATAGCTATAATATTATAAGCGTATTCAAATGCGGCATATTGTAATTGATATACGAAATTCAAATACTTTATCTTTATCCTTACTTAATATTTTAATATTACGAAATAAATCTTTTAAATTTTATGATTTTATATTTAAAGAAAAGCCTTTATTATTTTGCATACAATATATTATGGCCATATTTTAAGTACTTATTTATAATAATTATTTCGGTTCAAGTAGCCGTGTTGATTGTGTTTATTATTTTTTCCCAATTTATTTTTTTTTTAATTTTTCACAAGACAACACGAATTTCAATATAATATTGTGGCTTGACATTTTTGAGGTGTGGTGATTATTATAACGAATATTACATAATTGATTTAATAACAGAATTACAAAGCAGATTAATATTTATACTTATGTGTGTGTATGCATTTGTAGGTAAAAATTAAATGCAATAAAAAAAACTAAAAATTAAAAAATTATTTTTTTTAACATACCTAGGGTTACCTAGTTAGAATTTGTATTATAAGTACTAGTAATATATAATTACATAATTTGTCGATAACCATTAATCTAAATTCCAATAAATTTTATAAAAGAACCTTTAGTACAGTGAAAAATTAATTAAATTTTTTTCTTAACTATGCAAGTAGTTTTATGAACTAGGCAAAATGTTTTCTTTTTTAATATAATTTCAAAATTAAATAATTTTGTTAAAATTTGAAATTAAATCTAAATAGTATTGCACACAGTTTTTGAATTTAATTTTCATCTTATTAATGCGGTAAATCATTTTATTACTGAAAATTCATGAAATAATATAAATGTAAAATTAAAATTTGTTCTCATCTTTCCATCTGTTTATTTGAAATTTTGCAAAATTCAAATCTTTACTTGTATGTATATTTTTCTTTAGTGTAGCTCTTTCTTACAGATAACGAAAAAATAATGGAGCTTCCACAACTCGAATCTCAACAACTCGAAAATCTCCTCATTTCGCAGCCATATGAGTTCCCTTAAATATTGAAATAGCATTTTTTTTTCTCTTCAACTCGAAATTTCAATAACTCCAACTCTTTTAAGGGGTGCGACTTCGAGTTATAAAGGTTCCCCCGTACTTGCAAAAATTATCACTTTGCTTGTAAAATTTTCATGCTAGGAAAGTTATTAATAAGAAAGTTGTAGAGGATGATGTTGCGCATTGAACAAAAAAATAGGGGTCTTTTTTGAGGTAATTAGATAATTTTTCCCAAAAAATGTTCAATGAATCAGTTCCTGACAGTAAGGTGATTAGCACTTGAACCGGACCACTTTGTGTAATTGTATAATAATATTAATATTCATTTTTCATATTAAACAATTTTTTATTATGTTTATTTGTATTTACTAAAAATTTCACAAAAAATTATTTAAATTATTTTCGCAGGAAACATAAGTATAATAATTCCGTTATTTCTATAAATAATAATATTAGTACCTTAATTGTTTCGACAAAATACATAATATTTAAAATACAATTCGAGTAAACCGAAAGAATATGAAATTTGTATAAAATAATCGCTTGAACTTGAAATAGAAATAAAATAAAAATTAATATTTAGTATTGCTAGGAAATTCAAAATTTATATAAAAAATTTGCGTCTCATTACAACTTTCTTTACGAATGTATTTGTGTATGTATATCCCGATTGAATTAGTTTGTAATGTAAATACAAATTTTACCAAATAATTTTCCCCCGGAATATTTCCTTCATTCCGGAACCACAAGATTAAATCTACATTGAAAATTTTCTAAATAGTTAATTTTGGAACTCTATCAAATTGGTCAATTGTGTTTCATTGTATTTTATTATGATTAGGGTGGGATAAAATTAAACTAATAAATTTGAGAAGGAAATAATATTTTTGATTAATTGTTTCTTTCTTTCATCGAAATTTACGTTTAACTTTTCTGTTCTGATTTTTGTCTTAAAAAACAAGATTGGCATTGTTGAATTTTTGTTCTACCAAACAATACAAAATTTTATACATAAAACTTGTTACATATATACATACTTATAAGTATTCACTTACCTTTTTATAATTTAAAAAATCAATTTTAATTAATTTCTTCACAATTTCTATTAAAAAAAATTTTCAGAACACATTGCACTTTTATAAAATTTATATTAATACTTTTTATTTTTAATTTAAAATAAATAAATTTTCAGTTAACAAAATTTAGCGAAATAGGTTCAATTACATTCAAAAGTTATTCAAGGTAATTGAAATAATGAAGAGTGACAAGCGCATTACACTAAAACCAAAAATAAAAACAAAAAAGAAAAAAAAAACAAATTGAAAATATTCATACAAAATAATAAAAAAAAAAATTTCTCAGCAATTTAATAATTTTAATTTATTTTGTTTAGTCTTTAATAAAATGTGAAAATTTACATTTTGTCAGTTCTTTGAACTCATGCACTGCAATTACAGGTAACATAAAATATAATTTTTTGTTATTGCTTATGATGCAAAAAATAAAAAGTCTTTGCAATAAATTTTTGTACAAAAATAAGTATGTAGTCATAGAGATAAGTTTTATATTGAAACTGTGTCGTACTAACTTACTATTATTCGATATTCTTAATAATACCAAATTGTACTGCTTAGCGCATTTAATTCATAATATGGAATATTCAAATCTGCTCCAGAGATGTAGTATCCCAAATTGCGAGATTTAAGGTATTAAAATTTTTGAATTACAGTAGAATCTCTATATAAATATAGTGACAAAAACAAATTGTTACTTTCAGTGTTAAACAAATTTTTCGCTAAGTACAGATTTTTGTTGTACTTATGGACAATTTTTTATAAGAATAATATTATAGAGAATGCATTTCATACATTAAATTTTGATTTATGGCCTAGGCTTATGACATTCTCTAATGAATTTAATAGAAATATTTTAAGTTATACATAAAGTAAAGCAATCATATATTATAAAAATTAAAATTATTCTTGGGAAAATAGAAAATTATCTTGTTATGAGAAAAAATTTGATCATGAACAAAATCATGTTTTTTTTTATAATGGTTGCAAAATATATACAGGATTTAAATTTTATTCTTAATTTTAATTATTAATAGATATAAAATTTTACAATTTCGTTCTGCCATTTAATAAATTATATACGGTCTTTTAGAATATAGGTTTAATCTAAATATTCATGGGTTTTGTATAGTTGTTGGAAGCAATTAAAATCCATAAGAAATTGAAATCGTTTTTTAAAAATTTAAATATTATTAATTTATCTTAAGATTAATGTACCGTAACTAATAATTAAAGTTTAAAATTTAATTTTTAAGTTTGTTTGCTTTTTTTCAATTAATTTTATTGTGTTAAAACGCTGTAAAACTTAACTATATGCTTACTTATTATTAAAAATAACATGCTTATTATTATTAGAAATATATATGTAGGTATGTGTATAAGCGATATCATAGACAAATCATTAACATACTTATTTAAACATTCTATTGTGCTGAAGAAATTCACATACTGCCTGTCTAGAGCAAAACTATCTTAAGTCACAATTTGCATAATTGAAAAACTGAAGATAGAAATGTAATTTTTATTCAAATTCCCATAACACAGCTTAAAAGGATAAAAGATGGCAATCCAATTTCCATATATAAATAAAATATAATATGTGGACATAAGATTATTATGCGCGAATGATTTTTAAGCCGAATTCTTGTATGAATGAGATTCAAGTATAGGAGTATAAATATGCTTTTGCGTTCGGTGCGAATGATATAGGATATTGTTAAATAAATTTTTTTTGGAGAAAAATTGATTTAGGCTAATTCTGCTCTAAGGAGGCGATATGTATAACTGCATGATTATAATAAATTACTAACACTTAAATAATTTCTTTATTAATTTTTCTTAACAAATTGTTTAATATAAAATATTTCTAAAATCACTTATAATTCATGCAGGGAATAAAACATATCAAGATGAATTGCAAGGTAAATTAACATTTTTATCAGACAAATTGATTGATCAACAACAACAGCAGAAGCAGCAGCAGCAATTACAACAGCAAAATGAACAAGAAAATCAAAAGAATTTAGATGAAAATATGATTAAGTTGAAAATAACAACTTGTAGTAATTCTGATCAATCAATTGGTGGTTTAACACAAATAAAATTTAATGAAAATGAAAAATTAAATACAAATACAATGACGACAGATATTAATGATATGCAAGGAATTAATTCAATTGGATTTTTATCACAAGAAAATTTTAATCAAAATGATATTAAAAGAAGTTCAACAACAAAAGGTTAAAAATTTTAAATTATTAAAAAAAAAAAACAAAATTAATAAAAATAATTTTATTTCTTTTTATATAAAAAACAAAAAATGCAGGAACTTTTCATGATATATCATCAAAAAGTCGAAAATCAATAATAAGACGTTGGTTAAAACCATCATCAGTATCTTCACAATCAATTAAAGATATTGATAATCATCGTAATAAAACCATTCCATATAAAATGATGAAATTAAATTTAAAACCATTATTCTTTGAGGTACCATTACAAGAAACTGATCCAATATTTATTGGACGACAATGGATGTTACGTGAATTATCAAATATATTAATATCAACTGATACACCTGGTATATTAATTAATGGTAATTCTGGTACTGGTAAAACAGCATTTATATTACAATTAGTTGAATATTCATGTTTTGGACGTAAAAAAACTATTAATTTACCAGAGAATGATGGTATTTATTGTCAAATAAATATTAATAATGATCGTATTAAAACATTAGCATCATATGTTGTTGCATATCATTTTTGTCAAGTTGATAATAATGTAACATGTTTAGTTCCTGATTTTATACATTCATTAGCTGCACAATTATGTCAAGCACCACAATTAATTGCATTCCGTGATTATTTAGAAAATGAACAACATTTACAAAATATATTAGGTATTAAAGAATGTTTTGCTGATCCGGAACGTGTTATTAGAATGGCAATATTAGAACCATTAATACAATTAAAAAATTCTGGTAAAATAACAACAAAACATTGTATTATATTAATTGATGGATTATGTGAAGCTGAATATCATAGACCAGATCATGGTCATACGATATCATCATTTTTATCAAAAATAACATCATATTTTCCACAATGGTTAAAAGTTGTATGTACTGTTAGAACAAATATGAAAGAACATATTAAAAGTTTACCATTTACACAAATAAATTTAGATAATTTAAATTCAAATGATTGTATACAAAAAGATATATTAGAATATTTATCATTTCGTATAAGTCATAGTGTTGATATACAAAAAAATATTGGTACAACCAAAGAGAATTCAGTTGGTCAAATGAAATTTTGTAATCATTTTATGTCATTATCAAAAGGTTCATTTTTATTTTGTAAATTAGTTATGGATTTAATTGAAAAAGGACATTTAGTTATTAAATCAGCTAGTTATAAAATATTACCGATATCATTGGCACAAATATTTTTATTACATTTTAATTTACGTTTTCCGACAACTACAAGTTTTGAAAAAGCATTACCAATTTTAAATGTTTGTTTGTCATCATTATATCCGTTAACTTTAAAAGAAATTTATTTTTCTATATTGGCTTTAAATACAGAAATTAATTTAGATTGGGATGAATTTCTTGAGAGATTCAAATTATTAAATGGTTTTTTAGTACATCGGTTAGATAATACGTATATGTTCTTTCATCCGGCATTAAGAGAATGGCTTTTGAGGCGGGATGAAGCAGAATCAACAAAGTTTTTATGCGATTTTCGTATTGGACATGCTGCATTAGCATTTCGTTTATCAAGAATGCAAGCTCCTTTAGATCCAGACAAAACTTTAGAATTATGTCATCATATTTTAAAAGCACATCTCTTTCGTAACGGACAAACAACGTTATCAGCTCGAGATATACAATCATATTGGGTTACAACATCAGCTGATTCGACCTCAGAAGCTCTCTGTACATTAAGAAACATCTATAGCCCCAATGTTAAAGTTTCGAGATTACTATTATTAGCAGGAGCGTCAGCTGATTATGTAACAGATTTCCTAGGAAACGCAACAATTTTATGTATAGCTGCCCATGAAGGTATGGAAATAAAATATTTTATCAAAAATTTGTAAGAAGTTTCTCTTTTAAGTCTTTAGTTTGAAAAGTTGTAATTCAATATTATTTTTCATATTTAATACAGGAATAGTGCCAATGGTAAGCCTTTTATTGGAATTTGGAGCTAATGTAAATGGAACAAACAGTCAAGGATGTACCCCATTAATATTTGCTGCATTAAGAGGTCATTGTGACATTGTCAGATTATTGATTGCGGCTGGGAGTGATGTCAGTCAAACTGATACAACGCAACGTTGTGCTCTTGTACATGCTGCGAGAGTTGGTATGTCGAGCGTTGTGAAATATTTATTGGCGTGTGATTGGACATATAAAAATTCAAGTTCAACATCAAATGTATCTTTTACAAATGCTTTGCAACAATCTCTAATAGCAGCCGCTTCAAATGATTATTTGGGGATAGTTGAAGATATTTTGGACACAGATAAAATAAATCTTAATGATTACGATACCTTAACTGGGGACACAGCATTAATCGCTGCCTCGAAAAATGGATGTTTAGAGACAGTTTCCGTTTTATTGTCTAGAGGAGCAAATGTTGATGCTAAAAATAAATTAAGTCAAACAGCTCTAATTCTTGCAATTAAAGAGGGTCATCTAGCTGTTGTTGAAAGATTAATACAATATGAAGCAGATATAGAACAATGTGAAAATGAAGCATCAAAAACATCTCTTATGATAGCATCTGAAGAAGGTCATTTAGATATTATAGAATTTTTAGTAGAGAGGGGTGTCGATTTAGAACGTCAAGACAAGGATGGTCTAACAGCATTATCATGGGCATGCCTACGGGGACGTTATAATGTGGTTAAATTTTTAATTGATAAGGGTTGTCGGCAAGACCATGTTGATAAAATTGGTCGTACTATATTAGATTTAGCTGCTTATCAAGGATCATCAAATCTTGTACAATATTTAATTGAAAATGGTGCTAAAATTGAACATTTAGATATTAATAATATGAGGCCATTAGATCGTGCTATTGCTTGTCGCAACGTAAATGTTGTTCAAATATTTTTGAAAAGAGGTGCAAAATTAGGACCAGCAACATGGACATTAGCTGCTGGAAAAGTTGACATTTTAGTTATTTTAATTAATAAATTATTAGAAGATGGTAATTTCTTATACAGAAAAAATCGTTTTCAAGATGCTGCATATCGCTATCAATATGCTCTGAAAAAAATGCTTTTCATTGAATTTCCAACCGAACAAAATTTCATTTTTATTCAATTAAAGGTTAATTTATTACTTAATTTGTCAAGAAGTAAACGAAAGATGAACGTAAGTTTACATAAATTTAAATAATTGAAAATAAAAGTTTCCTTTTTGTTCCAGGAACTTTCGGAAGCAATTGATCTCGCTACACAAGCTATCGAATTGAAGCCAGACAGCTATGAAGGTTATTATGCTAGAGCTAAGGCAAAACTTGAAAAAAATTATATATATGAGGCATCAGCAGATGCAAAAAGTGCACTGGAAAAATCAAAAGCAGCCCCGGATGACGTTAAAGAAATTATACAACGTTTTTACAATGATTTGATATCTCGAAATTTAAGGCCAAATAACTCAAATGAAATAACAGATTTATGAAAATCAAATGTTTATTTCTCGATCCGCTGATTCCTAAGAATATTGTTTTAAAATAGATATTGAAAAAACTGCTTTTGTCGTGCTTAACTATTTTACTAAATTGAATACATTTTGTTTGGAAGCATACATATTTATTTTTGTCTTAAATTATAAAAAATTAATTTGATAAATTGTATTTAATAAAAGTTTTAATGTTTTAAGTATAAAACTGTTTAATTTAAGATATCCCTTGACCCACTACAAATTTTATTGAAATTACCGTCTATTTGATAAACAAATTAACAGATTGGGAATATAGCGAGCTATTAAATAAGATCAACCCAAGGAATTTCGAAAATTTTTTTATACCGTGTTCTACAGAATTGGATGTGAAGAGTGATCTTAATTTAAAACAAGAAACATATAGGTCTAAATATTAATAGTAATAAAATATAGGTTCAATTTCTAGTTTAGAGTAGAACATTTTAGACAAAAATTTGAGCAAAATTAGCAGATTCAGTGCCCTTAATTTAAGAATTTTTAATAAGAAAAGATTAAGCTCTTCATCTAAGCTCTGCTAACACTAGGTTTTAATAAAAATTAAATTTCACTTCAATGTAAAAATTGTTTGGATTTTATTTTTACACAACTTTTAACATTCTCATATTTAAAAACATACTTAAACTGATTCTTGTACAGGCGGCTCATAACCTTCTGGTCTATCAATTACGGCACCTTCTGATACAGCTCCTTCTGTACCTTTACCACCACCATCTCCATGTAAATCAAGTAATCTTGATAAATCAAAACGTGGTTTTTTAAGAACTTTTACTTTACGAATGTACACATCATGAAGTGGATAAATTGCTTGACATTTCTTTTCAATATCTTTTGCAATGGAATCAGGAAGTAATTTATTTACTACTTCCTTTAAGTCAGAGCTACTAACATCGCGAATAATTGCATCTGTCATTTTTTTACGAATCTGACGAACTTGTGAATGTTGAGCGTAGCAAGTTTTACGTTGAGACATTTGATCTTTTGATGTAAATCCAATACAGAAAACACGTAAAAGATATCCATCTGTAGTTTTGACATCTACATTAGCTTCAATCAATGTTTGCCATTTTTTAACCATTGACCTAAAATTTAAAAAATTGCAAATTTGAATTAAGTATAACAAAAATAAGAATTATGAATATTTCACATAGAAGTGTATACATGTACATAATGTATACACATGGACGTACATATGCAGGTTGACGTGTTGTATAGGTTAAAATAAATTCATACACATACCTTAATTTATCAGTTGTTAAGTCCATACCATGAAAATTGGTAAGAACATTACGTTCTTGGACATCTTCAGCGATCAAACGGAATTTTCTGAAGGAACGTTCTGCATCATGATCCTCTTGTAAATCGGCTAACGATACTTCAAACACGCGGCCTTTCAATCCTTCAGATGCAATTTTAGTACCTTGTGTCCTGTTTACAAGTGTCTTACCGACTTGTCTTGTATGAAACATATTTGGTGCTTTCACATCGTACCAATCTTTACGTGAAAAAGGATCTACAACCTTCTTTTTACCACCTTTTTTGCCTCCTTTGGACAAACCTTTATTTTTTCCTACCGCCATGATTTAGAGTTGAAACTAGAAAAGAAAGACAGAAGGTGCTGTCAAAAAGAGGAAATAGATATTTTCAACGGAACTTGTCATTTTAACCAGTAAACAATACTTATTCAAATTTTTAGAGAAATGTCAAACAATATAGGCACATAACAGATTGAAATACAGCATAGTTTTCAAAATGAAAAATTTTTTTCACCTATTTATAGAATGAAAATTTTGGTTTCTAAATAATTTATTACCACATACAAAATCTAATTTTATGTATGTATAATTGTTTTGATGCTTCGTAAAATTTAAATTCCCGTTGCCAACGTTCAGTTTCACTAACACAAATTCATTTTCCAATTTCCATTTCAATTCCATTTTACACAACCCTAAAAAAATTGATGACAACAACAATCAGCTGTTTAAACATTTTGAAATTTGACCGGTGTTCAGTAAAATCATAAAAACAACGAAAACAAAAGTGGTACAAATTTGTTGGAAGAAGCTGCATGTAAAGAAAACAGTTTTATTTACTTTTACATTGAGCAAACAGTGTTTGAGTATTTTTTTTATTTTAAAATCATAATGGTATTTTATTTTACAAGCAACGTGGTACAACCACCATTTCGAATTTTCATGGGTGCAGATAAATATGAAAATGAAGACTTAATAAGATGGGGTTGGCCAGAAGATGTTTGGTTTCATGTTGACAAATTATCTTCTGCACACGTATACTTAAGATTACAGAAAGGGCAAACGATTGATGATATTCCATCATCTTTGATTAATGACGCTTGTCAGCTCGTCAAAGCAAATAGCATTCAAGGGAATAAAATGAATAATATCGATGTTGTTTATACAATGTGGGAAAATCTTAAGAAAACACAAGGTATGGAGGTTGGACAAGTAGCATTTCACTGTGATAAGGATGTAAGAAAAGTGCGTGTGGAAAAACGAATTAATGAAATTGTTAATCGTCTTAATAAAACAAAAGTTGAAGAACATCCAGATTTAAGGGGTGAAAGAGAAAAACGGGATGAAGAAGAGCGCGAAGATAAAAAACGATTACTTAGATTGCAGAAACAAAAAGAAAAAGAGGATGAAAAACGTAGACAAGATGAAGCTGAACTAAGAAGTTATTCAAGTTTGATGAAAGCAGAAAATATGAAAACAAATTATGATGATGGTAATGATTCAGATGATTTTATGTGAAAATTGTGAGAAACAATTTAAAATTTTATATTTTTCGTTTGCTTTGTAATGTTACCAATATACATACTGTGTATAAGCTGTTTTTTCTAATAAAATCTATGTCATTAAAATTAGATTGTTATCATTTTAGTCCTATAATTTCAAAAATTTTTGTCTTGATAGAAGTATTATTGTATTCATGGATGGTTGTACAAAACAAGTTTAATACAGAACAAACAATATTTGATAGTATTGCCACACTAATGAGATTCTTAGGTTAAGAAGCGAAATCCAAAATAAGGTTTTTTAATATTAAACATGTATAAATAATATATATTATTCTAATAATTAATAAATAACTAATTCAAATAATTATTCATACATTCTCATTAGTCAAATTGTAAGAAACTTTAATAATGTGGTAGCACTTTTCAACATAATACATGAATTTGACAACTTGCTTTTCAATTTGAATCAACTTGTTCAAAATTGATTCAATAGTCTTCTGGTTGGCGGTATTGTTTATTTTTTTCCATAAAAAACTTTCCTCATCTTTGAACATTAAAAAACATATGATTTTGAATACTCAAATTGGAAATATGCTTAAATATTCAGACTTCAAACAAATGTTTTGATAAGATTTCATAATTTTAGTAATAATACTAATAATACCAATAGATTAATAGATTTCATTCGGATTTAGAAAAAAAGTTTTATAATGGTAAGTTTGCGATATTAAATTGATTAAAAGCATTTTCAAAATAAATTGTGGGTATGTAGAAATTTAAATAAGCGCAATAATGTGTTCATTTTAGGCCAGTTCTGCGATTCTAGCCGGATTAGGTTTAGCAGTTATAGGATTTGCAGGAAAACATTTAATGCGCAGAGTTCCAAACTTATCTGAGAAAGTTAGTGAAACTTTAAGAACTTTACCAAAATTAGATGCTGAAAGCTTAGCAAATTCAAAATATTATAAAGGTGGTTTCGATCCAAAAATGAATAAAAGGGAAGCAGCTCTTATATTAGGTGTCAGTCCATCTGCATCTAAAGCAAAAGTAATTTATTTTTAAGTTTTAAAATATTCAATTTTGTTATGTTACCACAAATTTTAGATAAAGGATGCTCACAAAAGAATTATGCTGTTAAATCATCCTGATCGTGGAGGTTCACCATATATAGCAGCTAAAATTAATGAAGCAAAAGATTTCTTGGATAGTGGAAAATGAAGAAAGATAAAAAATGAAATGAATTAGTATTAAATAAAATATTTTAGTGCATATTTTTCATATTTTGCGTATATATTTTATGTTGTATATCTAAAGTTTAAAAATTTAATTTTTAATTTTTTAGGTTATAGGTAAGTGGGTACTAAATAATAATATGAAAATAATGGTATAAAGAGTCAAGATATATACACACATACCTGAATATAATAAAAGGAGCCAAGATACAATAAAACCTTTCCTCATTGTATGCGAGTAATAAAAGGCAACAATTGAAGATAGTCTCATAAAATGTAAAATCTTTCAAACTAGAAACTGAGGATATTAGAAAACTTATAATCTGAGGACAAGTAGGAAACTTATAAATGGTACGTTTTCAAACAGCGACTGATGAGAAGAATTCTCGACCTATTCTAATCATTTATGATTTGATTAACTTAATATATTTATTTTTGCAGCCAGCAAATTAAAAAATTTCAAATTAATATATAAACCGATTTTTCTGAACTTTACTTCAATATAAAATACTTATATTGGGCAAAAATTTCAAGAATATCTGAATCAGTAAAACAAAATAATTTGATATTTTTAAATATTTTAAATTCGCTTTTTTTTGAGTAAAAATGTTTTTAATACAAGTTAAGTGTTCTTATAGGCAGAATGTCTTCGACTTGAATTGTGGGAAAATTTAAGAAGTAGATATATAATAAAAATAGAGGATATAGAGATCCAAAAAGTTAAGAAATAGTTGAAAGAAACATGTTTCCTATTATATTTGTTTATCTAAATTTTCCCAAAATTTTTTAGAATAATATTGGCAAAAAAAAAATATGGTTTGTTTTTGACTCTTATTAGTTTGGCCAATTTAGATTAGAACATAATTAGATTAATATTAAACAGCTTATTTTTGAATTTGGAAATTTTTTCAGTTTTAACTTAGATCCTAATATAAAGTATGTTCGCAAAATCTTACCAAATAACTCATGTTTGAAAAATCTTCAATACTAAAGAAGTACGTTCGAAAATCGAAACATGTAAAAAATGATGTAAAAATATTTTATATTTGAAAAAAATATCACGTAGGTAAGTATAAGATATTAAAATTCTGAAAAGTAAACTGGTAAGTTCCAGTAGATCTATAATGTTGCAAAAAAGAAAATATTCCAGATAGAATTTGAAGTGCATATATGAATTATAGAAAATCGTCTTTTGGTCAGCCATTTGAAAGATGTAAGCTGTTTTCAGAAAAAGTAGTCAAAAAAGAAATCGTGGTTCTGTGTTCTTCTCATGGAGACTAAATTGGGAGGGCATACTTATAAGTAAAATTTAAAATAAAAAACTGCAAAATTTATTCATCACATTATAACATTTGAATTTATTTCTACCAAAAAAAAAAAAGTTAATATAAAATTTGTTTTTTTTTCTTTTTCTTTCTTTTTTTTTATAATAAATCATTTTTAATTTGATTGGCTGGTATTTTTTCTTCGTTTTTTTTTGTTTTTTATTTTTTTTTAATATTAATATTTTATTGTTTTATTTATTTAATTTGTTTTATTATTATTAAATTACATATAAAATTATTTATAATTATATTTATGAATTTTGCTTTTTTTTTGTGTTTGCTTTTATCGTTTGTTTTTTTTTTTAATATAAAAAGATTAAAATAAATTAAAGAACAAAATAATAAATTTTAATTTTGTAAAATTTTGGAAACAAATTTTCATATAATAAATTTATAATATAATTATTATTTTACACAAAAAAAAAATATATATATTAAATAATAATTAAAAATTTCTTTCATTCTTTTTAAGCAACAGAAGACGGAGAAGGATTAGATGCAAGGGCCTATAATTTGCAAAAAGGACTAAACAAAAAAAAAAATATAATTATATTGAAAATTACATAATGCATATTTTGTTTCTTAAATTTAAAACATTCGACTTTTTTCTTCAAATATCATATAATTACATATGTTTATATTATATATTAATAAAAATAATTAACATTTATAATACACGTTCATTTAATTAATTTTGTAGTTAAATGTGTATTAAAATTTTATCATTTCAATTCAGTATTCCAAAAAATGAACGTGAATATTTTTTTTTTAAATATTAAGCATTATTTTAATATTATTTTGATGTTTAAATTATAAATATTTAATATAAACATATGTAATTTATTTATGTTTATTTTTAATTTTAATTTTATTTCTATTTGTAATACAATTATTATTAACATTTTCTTGTTTTAATCAATTTAATTTTTTTTTAATGAATATAAATAAATATATCTAATTAAAATTAAAAATTATATTTTAATATTTTATATAGGTAGGTATATATATGTATATATATATATAATCTATTATGTACGCATCTATAAAGAAAATATTCTTAAAAAAATGAAAATTTTTTCTGTATTACTTTACATTTTAATTTTACATTTTTTTTTATTAATTAAATTAATGACAATTATAATTTTTTATAATTATATTTAATATAGTAATTAATTTAAAAAATAATGATAATAATAATTTATAGTGAAAGAAAAATATTTTTTATAGGTACGTGAAATATATGAATTCATCAATTAATAGGAAAATTCAATTAAATAAAAAAAGAAAATTTGAAGAAATTTCAATATTTTAAAATTTAATAAATTTAAAAAATTATTTATTCAATTGATTGTAATGTAAAGCTTTTTGGGTTGTTTAAAATTTATTCCCATTTATTTTATTTTATTTATTGATCTTTCATATTTTTAATAACCGTACTATATGAGTAGATCTATAATAACCATCTAAAATGCTCAAATTCAAAATAATTTCACTCAAACTCATTTTAATATGAGAATGTATATATTTTTGACATTTAAGATTTTATAAATTTTAGTATGACAATTAATTTCATTTGAGAGAGTTGTTAAGTGCTTGATAAATTTATTTTTAATTAAATTGAAACAATAATCATAATAATAATCATTCAAATTTAATAAAATAGTAATTTAATTATTCAAATTTAATAAACAAAAATTAAATTCTTTTAATATTGTCAATTATACTAATTTAATTTTATATGTTGTTGCGATTGTGTGAAATTCCTTTTTGCACATGCATAAATAATTTGAAACGGTATTTTACTTACAGTAACTTATGTATTTTGCTTATATGTACATAAAGGACAAGCTTTCAGTTTTGGATTCTGACTATTAGCAATTGAAATTAATTTTTTTTTGTATAATAAATTTTACTTTAAATTGAAATGAATTAGTTAATTTAATATGTGCGTATTGAAAATTTTCTGTATTCATACATTTTAATAATACCGATTTATACATGTGCATAGAAAAATCTCAACATATCTCAAAGAAATATATATACAAAAAATCAAACACGGAAAGTGAAGACAAAAGATGAAACTAAGATTGTAGGTAAGTAGTAAAATAAGTTCAATCATTGAGAAAATATTTTAATATTGATTACTTTTTATAATATGTGTATTTCTTTTTAGGTATATATTTTCTGGTAAATACATATGTGATTGCAATATGATTTTGTGCTTGTTGAGATTTTTCAGCGAAAGAAAAATAATGTGCCATTCATTGCTTCTTCTTTTTTCTTCAATTATAAAGTAAAAATTTGATATGATATATGGAGCATGTTAAAATTTCCAGAATATAAATATATGAAATCCAATTTTTGTAATTAGTTCATAAATGTAATTAGATAAATTAATTATTATGCAAATGTTCGAATTTTCTTTGAGGAAGTTTAAAGATTTAAAACAAATACAACTTTTAAAATTAACTTCGTTCATAATTAAGTTCGTAAAAGCCCACTGACAAAGAAGATATTTTTTAACTAAGGTTTTCCAAATCTATATATATATTTTTTTTTCGAATGAATATGTAAAATTTTTTGTTTAATTATTTTTTTTTAATACTCTTGGTACAGATATTTTACATTCCTGTTTGATTATTATTTTTATTCATTCATTCAGATTTGGATTGTTATTTTTATCAACCTACAATTAATTGCTTTAGGATATTATAAAAAAAAGAATTAATATAAAAAGTATGCATATACAAAAACATGTATAATTAAGTTAAAAAAAATACATATATATAATTGCAAGAAAATTATTTTGTATTACAATTATAATTAAATATATATTACAAAATATTATAGGATATTATAATTTAATATATATTAAATATATATTAAATATATATTACAATTATAATAAGATTTAATTTATGCTTTCTAATACGTTCGTTTAATTAAACAAATTGTGTTATAAGAATTTTGATTAAATTTTTAAAACATATTTTTTAAAATATTAAAAATGAAGATTTTTAAAATTTTAAATTTTATGTACATACAATATGCATACATAGTGTATAATACAAATCGTATACAATAAATTGTAACATTTATAGTTAAGAAATTTTTTATTTTAAATTTTACAATTTTTTTTTTAATATTGATTATAATATGTATTTGAATTTTAATTAATTTTTGTAAAAATTTTCAAAAAAATATATATAGTTTATAATTTGTATATTTATATATTTTATTGTTTTTAATATTTAATTTTTTCTTTCATGCATTACACAAGTTATATTACGTATTTTTAGTATTTTTGTTTTTTTTTTTGGTATTCATAAATTTTTTAGGAATTCATTTTAAAAGAAATGAAACAGAAAAATTGGAAAAGAAATATAAAATCAAAATTAAATTTAAAAGAAATTTTTTTGAGAAAATCCAAATAATTATAATATAACAAAACAATTTTTATGTAGTTAATTTGTTTTTAATATTAAAAAACAATTGAAATTTAATACTGAAAAAGGCAACAAAGTAAAAGTTTATTATGTTGTATACGAGTATAATACTATTGTACCATAAAGTGAAAAGAAAAAGTGAATAAGAATAAAATCCCAATTTAATTATTATTATTCTTTAACTTTCTTTAGTTATTTTATTGTAAATATTTATAATACTTATATTGTTTTCATTAAATTAAAGTTAATCGAATAAAAATTTAGAGGGTTTTATATTTTCTTGAACGTTCCCTTAATAATGATGACCTGTGATAATGTTTTTAACTTTTCAATTTAAATTTTAAAAATAAAGTAATGACTCGAAAAACTATTAAAATATATGTATTATTTTTAATTTTAATTTAATTGTGTTCAAATATTATCAAATGATTTGAGTTTATTAAACAAAAACAATTGTAATTCTTTCAATTTTTCAATTAATCAAACATAATAATATTTTTTATAATGTTTTATAGTTATTTTAAAGATTTTTGAATTTAGATTCAAAATTGGTATTTAGCAACATTTTTTTTTTTAAATTCATTAAATGAGTTGCATACGTTCCATAATAGTTAATACTAATTTATTTAATTAATTTATTTCCTTATATTTTAATTTAAATTTTGCCTGATTTTATAAATTTTTGTAATCATAATAATTTTTCAATAATTTATTAAACTGCGATGCAATATATCCAAATATACATGTATTATACTTATTTATGTTTTGTTTAATTATAAATTTTTAATTAATTTAAATCCTAAAAAGTATACATCAACATAATCACAATATTTTGAAAACAAAAATCCAAATTTAAATGAAATCAAAATTATATAGAAATTAATTTAGGCACGATTTTAGTGGATATTTTTTATACAAGACAAATCATTTTACAAAATATTACAAAAATTGGTTTTGGGTTGTAGTAAATTTAATTGATATTTTATTAAATTAATTGATATTTTTTATTTACGGATTTTATTTTAGAGTGATTAACAAATTTAATAAATGGTTGTTATTACGAATACAAAATTGCTTATTAAATTGTTGATATTTTTAAAAGGAAATTGTATTTCTTTCAGTGTTGTGTTTCGATTACATTTCTGTTAATTTTACAATTAATAGAATTGATAATAATTTTTTATTTTTTCAATGCATATATTTGTGGTGAGAATTTAATTGAAATTTAATAATTAAATTTAACCGAATTATATGCTATTTTTATTATATGATAGCACATTTTTTTGAGAGTAAAAGAAAAATAATAAACATACTAAGTTAAAATGTAAGAAGCATTAATTGCAATTATCATATTTCAATAATAAATGTTGATATTGCTAAATTATTAAATTTTTATATTAATGAATTTAATTATTGAAATTGATTTTTATAAGCAAATTTAAATAATAAATTTAATAAATCTTGTTTTTATAACAATGAATTTGATTTCAAATATTTGCTTCCATTAATCACTCTACAATTTTATATTAGTTCTGTCATAAAATAATAGAAATCACATACGTAATATTTAAAAATTAAGAAAAAAAATTGTCGGATTAAATAATTATTATCATTATTTACTTTTTTATTAAATATTATATTTGTTATTTATTTATTTGTTCTTTAAATTCCTAAATTACTAAATTAAAGTAAATTGATATTTTACAAGGTTTGTTTTTTTGTATTAATTATATATATAAGACTTTTTTACTTTTGTTTGCAATTATAAATGTACGTACATCGTTTTCATAAATTTGTTTTATAATAATATCTTTAAATAATTTATATATTTATATATAAAAAAAAAAGTATTTAGGGCGCCTACGAAAATACAAAATCTAACGTCAATTTGACTTATTCAGCAATGTATTTTTAATTATTGATTAAGTTAATTTGATGTTGGATTTGCATTTTGATAGATTCCCTTTGTTTTCAGTAATATAGAGCACATTTTGTTAGCAGTATTTGCTACATAATTTTAAATTTTTTGTTTTTTTTTTTTTAATATATTATAACAAAATGATTTTTTAAATATAAAAAACAAAAAATTATAATATGGGCGATATGTTTTATTTAAAAGATAAATAAAAAAAATTAAAAAATTATAATAATAATAAAATTTTTTTAAAATGAAAATTTTAAATTAATATAATTTTTTTGTTTTGTTTTTATTTTATAATTATTTTGAAAAATACAAGTACATTTACTATACAATAATTATTTTATATTTATATGAATATATTTAGTACAAAATAATTTTATAATTTTATTAAATATTTTCCTTTTTTTTATGTTTGTTTTTTTCTTTCAAATTTTTTAATATTCTGTTGATTGCTTTTATATTTTAATTTATTTAACATTTTATGTATGTGAATATATTTATTCTGCTTTTAGCATTATTCAGATTTGGAAATGGAAGATGTTTGTTTGTTTTTTTTTCATTTTTTTCATTTTAAATACTAAAATAATAAAATATGTTTTTTTTTGTATTATATTTTTATATTTAAAAAGCAATAAGTTATATAATAATATGAGAAGAGAACTACAAATTAAATGTACATAATGTTTAATTCAAAAACAAAATTAGAAATACTATTAATAGCATTTATATATTAAACAAATAAAAATTGTTGTCAAGTATTCCAAAATATAATAATTATAGTGTTATATATTTGCATTATGATAAAATGATTGCACTAAAAGTAATCTTGATTTAATTGCTAAAGCAATTAACATTATTATTATTTTTTGAGAAACATGGAACTTTATATTAATGAGAATAAGGCTGTCTTCATTAAAGCATAAATATGGTATTTTTACAATGTATAGTTTTCGAAAATGTATTGCGACAGTATAGCTTTTATATTCAGTAATGTAAACGTAATTACGGCAGGCTAATCACCAACCTAGTTAACTCTATGACGCTATGAAACTAGGAGTGAAGAAGGAAAAAACAAATGTAAACGTAATCAATGTTATAATTTGTGCAGGTAAATATTTTTATATACATTTGTTTAGAATTTTGAGATTTACAAATTACTGATTCAAAATGTAAGTTCTTTTTTTATTATATTTTGATGCAATATTATGTATAGATTTTTTAAGATTGTTTTTAATTTTAAGAAATAAAATTGGAAACATACGGACAGATTTTTTTTTGTATTTTTAAAATATATAAACAGTATATAAATTTATTTTTATTTGAATAATAGAAAATAAAATTTTAATTTAATTTATTGTTCAAATTTGCAATTTGTATGGAAGATTTTTGAATATATGTATGTTTATGCAGATGCATACCTGAAAATGATTCTACCAATTGTATTACTAACTAATTAATGTTATATTCAATTAATGTATATTATATTTAATATTATATATAATTTTTAAAATAAATTCAAATGATAAATCCCATTATGCATGATAATGTAAGTCATATATGTATATAATGCCACATATACTCTATAATATTATTTACTATATGTGGTACAATACCAATATTTTACAAAATGAACCTAAATTTTTAAATTATTGTTATTAAATATTTTAAAATCTTAATTTAGGCTTTTATTATTACAAAAATGTTAGTTAGTAGGTGTACTTTTAAAATTTTGGAATATAAATTAATAAATTATAAAATTTGTTTGATTTGTCTTTAATACCTAAAATCATATATATAATTATTGTTGTTATATAACCGAACTTTGTGCTATTCATAATCAATAGTTTTTTAAAAATTTTCAAAACTTTTAGTACAATCATCTTTTATCATACAAAAATTCTATTTAAAAACATTAAAAATGAAAAAAGTTAAACATGTATATATATAAAAGAATAAATTAAAAACAAATATTTTAAATTTAGATTATCTTTCCTGATTCAGAGTGATTATGTACAATTATATTTGTAATGAAATTTTTCTTTTTTCTTTTTTTAAATTAAAAATACTATAAACTTATAATAATTTTTTTTAGTACAATTTAACTGTGTTGTTTTCATTAACTTTCTTTTTATTATTTTACTTTTTCTATATGACTATCTCTCCATTTATATTAAATATTTATAATATATATATATATATATATATATTTGCATATATATTTGTATATATATATATATATATATATATATTTTATACAAATGATTTTGTATGTGTTAATAAAACAGAACTTATTAAATATATTGTATTTGTTTTTTTTTTGTAATTCAATTTATATTAAATAAACTTATAATTTATTATTATTGTAAAAAAAAAATTAATTATATTATTTTGTTTTTTTTTTTTTCATCTATAAATATGAAACTTAAATTACTACCAACTTTTTTTTGCCAGTTAAAATTTATTTTGCAACTTTGTTTTTTATTTTTTATTTATATCTTAAATTTTTTGTAAATTTTTTCATTTTTCTTTTGAAATATTAAATTAATTTTTGAAATTTTTTTAATTTATTAATATGTATGCAATGTACATATATATATATATTCATATACATAAATTTATATATTATAATTTAATGAAATTTATCATTCCTAAATGTTAGTTTTACATAATATTATTTTTGTTCTTATGTAAGTATACAATTCATATTGTTTATATGCTGTACATTTATATATTTTTATATATAAATACATATATATATATATATATATATATAAAATTTCTTTCATTTTTCATACATTTAAATGTATGAGAAAGATTTATATAATATATATAAGGTATATATATATATATATATATATATATATATATATATATATATATATATATATATATATATATATATATATATATATACGTATAATATAATGCAAAATTTGTTATTTTTTTTAAATTGTGTTTCATTTTTAAAAATAAAAAATATATAATATTATTATAATTCCTAATATCTAAACATAAAATCACAGCAACTCCGTAAATATGCCACCAAACCATGCCATATAAATTGGAAATAAGTACATAACTATTGCTTTTATTAATGATATTGCTTTTAATTTTGTTGAACTATTTGCTTTATTATGTTTATATGTTTCATTTTCATTATTTGATTGTGTTATACTCTTTTTAGTTGATGTTTCATCTTTTCTATTTGTATTACTATTATATGTATGATCATGATTGCCATGAATTTGTGTACCAGTACCAGTACCACCATGACCACCATGATCAATTGATATACCACCATCACGTGAACCAGTTGGACCAATTGTTGAGTGATTATCATCATAACCATGTGAACCAGAACCATGTATATTATCTTCATCATCATCTTCATCATCGCTACCAATACCATCACCAGATCCTGAACCATTTTCATAATCAGGTTCTTCTAAAAAAAAAAATAAAAATAAAGAAAGTTATAAAATTAGTACATATTAAAATTTTTGATTTATTATTTAAAATTTGTTATGATTTATGGTCGTACTTAATAAACAATGATTGAATAAAATATGTTCGGAAATTTCAAAATTTAAAAAGTATAGCTTAAAAAATTGTATAATATCAGAATTACTTCGTTTCAATTTTTATTTATATTATTAAAAAAAAATGGAAAATTTCACTTACCTTGGTCTGACCAATCAACATCTAAGCCATTAAAAGCATTTTTCAAATGATTCACTGTTGTTTTCAAATAATATAATTGATTAACAATAACATTATTAGGTTTAAAATTTTGATTTGATGGAAATTCTGGATTAGTACTTTGTTCTAAAACAATTGGATGTCGATACCTTAAAAATAAAATTTATAAAATTAAAATTATTTTATTATAAAATTAATTATTAATTTTTACCTATCAACAGTTGTACCATTCCAACAACGATCATCTTTTGGTGATGCAACATTATCTTCATTATTACATAAATGATACGCTAAATTTGACCAAAATTTCTTTGATTCTTTTACTTTTTCTCTAATATCTTTAACTAATTTATCTAAATCTGGTTCTCTATTATCCATTTCATCATCATCAATTTTTTTACCACTTTTTTTATTTTTATTTCTACCACCGCCACCACCTTGTGTTTCTAAAGATGATGGTAATGATTGTTCAGATTGATGTTCTTGTTGTAATTGTTCCTGGTGCTCCTGATCATTTTGTTGCTGTTGTTGTTGATCCATTTCGGATATTGGTGATCTTTTATTTAAACGATGTTCATTATTATTGTTATTATTATTATTGCTATCTGTAATAACTTCATCTTCAATTTGTGCATCAATATCTAATATATCGGATTCATTATTTGAAATAGCAATTTTATCACTATATAGATTACGTCTTTTACGTCCTAATGTTGGTCTACCACAGCCAGTAAAAACTTGATTTGATATATCTTGACCAGTTTCCTATATTTTTCAAAATAAAAATAATAAAATAGAATTTAAAATTTGTGCTTAAAAGATGGAAAAATTTTTATATAATAAAATAATTTTTAAATGATTTATTTCATTTTAGAAATAATTTTAAAGTTTAGATATTTAATTTATTTAGAGTTTCTTATTTAGAAAAAGAAAGTGCATTTTTCATTAAAAATTATAAAATTACAAAAAAAATTCTCCTAAGCGTTATACTATTATTTATGCTAATTTAAGGCGTAGACAAAGCAATTTTTCATTCGTTCAGATGTTACCAAACAATTTCCTGCAGAAAATATTAATAAATTTCTTTCAAAATGTAACCCGTTCCAAAAATTCAATTAATTTACGCTTAAAATTTTACACCCTTCGTAGATTGAAATTAAAACGAGTATTTTCATAATTTTATGAAAAAATTGAGACACTTTAAAAAATTTTCCTCAGAGGGTACCATTAATATTTTCCTCAAAATATTTTGGTTCAAGCAATTGAATTAATTGAGAAATCTATTGATTCGAATTTATACAATTATAGGCTATTTAAAAATTTTTAACTTCGGATTATTAGAATTTTGTTATGAGAAACTAGCCTAAACACATTTAAATATACAATAGTAACACTTAATGTGTTCAATTTGTTTGCTAAGGACTTAATTATATTATTAATTTTAAAAGGAATCGCATATTTAAAATGGTGTAGAATTCTTCTAATTAATTATTGCCAGTATTAATTCAAAAAGTGCATTCAACACCTCTAATAAAACCATATAATAATAAATAAAGAAACTAATCAAAGGTTAAGATTGAATTGCAAAACTGAACGGAAGTGAACAGTAAATTTGAAATTTAAATTTGATTCAATTAGATTTTTAAATTTCTACGGAAAAAAATTGATCTAATCTGAAATTGTTTCAATTTCTTATATAACAGCTATATACCTTTGTTAATCATTTATCGTATATGCATTCCATTGATTATAACAATTTAAAATCAGAAAAAAATTCATTTAGAGGGAATATAATCGAAAAAAAAAATCAAATTTTCATGGGATGCGTTCAACTTCCAAAGAATTCAAAAATAAAACAGAAAATTCAATAATCATTATGATATTAAAGTTAATAACTTAATTACAAGAATATAAATTAAAAAAACCAAAAAAAAAAAAATACGAGTATACATATATATATTAATAAAATTCATATTTTCTATTTTTCCATTTTATATTCTTCGGCTTTTTCAACTCTAAAAATTCTTTTCGAATCATTTTTTTTTAATTTCTAATTTAATCAATATCATTAGTCGGTATCAATATAAATTTTCATCATTTCATCTGGATATTATCATCAAAATCAATATCTATATAATCAACAATAATATTTTTACAACATAGGAGGTCTTCATTAATAATGTTAATAGTTTAACACAAACATAAGCTCACAAACATTTTTTTTTCTTAAATTTTTTTAATGCACATAATATAGGCAGACATTATGTTGGAAAATATCTAAAGAATTTAAAAACATAAATCATTATCACATATATATATGTGTATGTACGTATACAATATACACAATAGTACATATTATATAATGTAACATGAATATCTATACTCTTATTTATGTTTCGGTGAACAAAAGAAACAAAAACTTAATTATAAAAACCCAGATAATTTGTAGTAAATTAAGAAATGAACATAGAAAAAAAAAGCATATAAAATAAAATTTGTAGATACCTTTATATGTAATAATGTTTAATTTCTACATATAAACACACTTATATACATTATACAAAAAATGTTTACATATATGTACGTACATATAAAGTATAACCAGTATTATAAAATTAATAATACAATGATAATATAACAAAGAATTTATACAATTTGAAAATCTTTAACACCTTTTTCAAAAAATATTTTTATTATGTAGGATAATGTTATAGATAATACACTATCCGCTATTACATAACTTATATATATACATACCTGAAAATTCATTATAGCCTCCGAAATTTTTATATTTATTGGTTCAACAACCATAACAATATTAAATGGTCCTAATAATCTTTCTGATAATTTAACAATTGCAGCAACAAAATTATCCCATTCTGTATCTAATTCATTAAAATGTTGCAAACATCCTTTCATTACATTAACACAATATGCATTACATGGTTTCTCTGAGTGACCTTTACAAATACCACATTGTTGCATTTTTGTTAATGCAGCTGTACATTCTGAATAAACACGAGTCTGTAAAAGAGAAGAAGAGCAAAATTAAATATAAAAAAAAAATTTATGAAAATATAAAAATTTATACGTATAGATATGTATATACATACCAGTATAGGTATGTACAGTAATAACATGTTGTAATGAGCGAAAAATTAAAAATTAATTAAATAATATTTAGATATGTATATATGTATATATATTTACACTAATACTCATATGCAGTATGCAGGTAAAATTAATTAATTTTTATTTTAACTTTTGGCCTTTGATCATCATAATTTATTTTATTTAGATATACAGTGGGTTTACAATTACTGTGGGACAAAATACTATAGTATTTTGAACATATAATTACAGCAATTTGAAATTTAGCTAAAATAGTTATCAAGAATTATATTTCTTAAGCATTCTTTGATAAAAGAGCGGGTTACAGGGTTTTTCATTTTGAGTTTCGATTATTTTGTAATCTGTTTTAGTCATTTAGTTGTATATTTTGTATGGATTTATTCATATTTATATAAAAAGGGTAAAATCTAATAGAAGAAATTCTCCTCAAACGAAAATTATACGGGAAAATGATACTGAGTCAGTTTCCTTTGAGGATCTTTTTTTCTTGAATTTTTATCGCATAGCAGAATTTTATTGATTGTGATCGTACTCAGTATGATAGTTGTTAACTCTTTTTGTTGTTGACATATTCTCGTTAATTTGGAAAATAATAAACTGTAGATTGTGTAACTCTAATTTTAAATGATAATGCACGTAGTAATCCTTAGGCCTGAAATAAAAAGTTTTGGCGATGAAGATATAAGCGCTGATTTATAAAATTTATTACAATGCATATAGGTATCGTATATTTTATAATTATAGGTCACCGACATACTCAAAATCATCGACATACGACATTTTTGGTTCCAGAAATTTATGTTGTAACTCGAATTGTTATTTGAGGAGTAAAAAAAATGTATGAACACAAAATGTAAATTAGATAAACTATTTTATCTTAGAAGAGTTTCTTGTAATAGATTTTACCCTTTTTATATAAATATGAATAAATCCATACAAAATATACAACTAGCTGGCTAAAACAGATTACAAAATAATTAAAATTCAAAAATATTTAAAAAATTTACAAAAAAATAAAAAAATTTTTAATGTCGTATCAGGAACAATGTCGCACGCCGAATAAAAATGGTCCAATTTTATATCGTATCGTAACTTGAAATGTTGTATTAGAAAATATCGTATTTCGAGGACTTAGTGATATTATGCATGTACCTTAGACTATATCCAATTTAATAAGGTTATTTCGTATAATATGTAGAGGGAATAATATAATTTCAGAACAAAGCGAGATATTCGAAAATACACAAAACAAAAATTAAATTAGTAAATCATAATAATTTTTCTTAGACTTTTTTAAAATGCCGGTTTCGCTTGACTATTTTTTTAATTTCGCTTAAAATTAATTGTAGATATGCATAGTTTTTTTTTTGTTTATTGAAAAGTGTTTATTTAACAGTTTGTAAATTTCATATATATTTAATTATATATACATGTACGTATATATGTCAAATGATTTCACACTTCGTTTAGTTTATTTTACATTGTATATTAAGGAATGTGGGAAGACATTTATTTCAAATATCTTTGTACTTATGAACTGCATGAATGCGGGTATTTATTAAACGATTTATAAAATATGCACTTTAAAATTCTTATTGTATTTAGTCAAAATTCTTGCCAAATACCTTACTGTTTAAAAAATAATTTTTTACTGAAATTGTTAAATTATTATGATACCTCCCATTTTTTTTAAAGAAAATCCTGCCCCTTCTTAAAAATTCAAAACTTCAAATAATTTTGCAAATTTTTCATTTTAATATTTTGCAATACGAATTTAATTTAAAACTATAATGCAAATAAATTTAATTAATATTATTTTAAAATTTGGCATTTTTATAAGTTTATTTTTGAAAACTTTCATAATTATTGTTGCACGCAGTTTATCTGTGCATGTTGATTGGCTTCTTAGATTATTTTGTAAAATGGAATTTTTCAATGAAAAAAAAATATTTAATTTGCTTTTCTTTAATTGCATTACGTATTAATACTATTTATTTTTCTTTTAAATATATTTATCATGTGCAGACATCAGACATCTTTATTTTTCGATATGAAAAAAATTTAAAGAAATATTTTTCTATTTTCCGGTCAAAGAAACTTTTTGAAGCATTTTAAAATATTTTAAGTACCTTATGCAATTAAATGTACTTTTTTTTCCGAAAAATCTTGATCATTTATTTTCAAAAACAAAAAAAAAAGATAAATAAGAAAATATTATTTAATTTATATTTAATTACCATGTGCAACAATGTTTTATAATGTACACATATTTTCTTCTATACTCACTTAAGAAACCAACAATCAACAACAAGAAATAAGTAAAAACAAAGAAAAAACATAAAAATATTAAACTTACGTTAGCAACTTTTTTAACAATCTCTGATGCAGTAATTACAGCTTGAGCATATGTTCGTGTTGCAACAAATGATCGTTTTATTTGCACTGATAATTTATCTGGAACATCACCAAATGGTTTTAATTCTCTCATATGTTCACTAACGCAACCCAAATATCTGAAAATAAAAAAAATATAATAAAAATGTAATAAATTGTGTAATTATGAAGGAAATATGTGAATATTTGAAAATACAAAAAAAAAAATTATGTTGATTTTAACAGATTTGAAGGAAAATATAGGGGGGGGGGGGAGAGGAGGGACAAGAAATGTGCTGGGTTATGCATAAAAACCTGTTTGTTTGCTTTTTACTTATTTCGTTGTTTTAAATTAAATTTAAACAAAAAAATTTATAATACCATGGTGTTAATTAATTTGTTATTATCTTGTGATGTTAATTTATTTGTTTAATAAACTTTTACACATATAAAATGTTGTTTATTTCATATACATAATATGTATATAATTTGTTTTCGTTTGTCTATTTTAATTGGAGGAGAATTGAATGCACCGCATGTGTATAGAATAAAACATGCAGTGAAAATAATTTAAAACAATTTTAATCTAAATCATATTGAATTAATTTGTAAGTAGTTTAAATGAATGTTATAAAAAGAATTTTATAGGGTTGATGATGAATATTTGAGGGTCCAGTCATAATGAAGAATCATATTAAAATTCATATAAATTTCATCAAAAAATTTTATTATACAGGACATAATATTTACGTATATAGACTCGCTATAATATCAATGAAATGTCAGTTTCCTCAAATATGAAAATGTTAATAAACAATATAAATTTGAAAGAATTGTCAGAATGTACTTACTTAAATAAAAATATAAAATCAAAGTACAAAAAAAAAATTTCTCTAACATTGTCGACTTTACGGCTTATCTATTTTTTCTAGACTTCTAACTGAACGTATAGATAAAAATATATAAAACCAATATTTTCTTTTAAAATTTCATCCAAGTATCGGATATCTATAGGGTATAAAGAAAGTTCTTCCGATAAATTAAATTTTATTGTATAAAGATCATCTGTTTTCAGCTTTCCCGGTTTTAAATAGTAACGCTGGTTTTCTTAATACTTTTATACTATTGAATAGTTTCTTGATATTTTTAAATCGAATAGGGCTTTAAATTTGTAATTTTAAATTAGTACTATTTACTATGCAATAGACGATTTATAAATTCAACAAAAGTGTGTAGTAGAAATGGAGTTCTAATAGAGAGTAAATTTATTTTTAAATTTTGCTACTTGAATAATAAAAATTACATTCTAAGCTTATATTTATGTGTAAATGAATGTTCTTCTTGTTTTAAATCCTAATTTTATTATTATATTGAATTTATATAAGATTTAGAAATATAAAATTAACTAAATTAAATACCACGTTATTTAAGTTTGATAAATCCTTATAACAAATTATTTTTATTTAAAACGGCATTCTTAATAATCAAAAGCCAGTTATGTATGCCCTGTAGTTTAAAAAAATGTTACAGTTTATCATGTTAATACCAAATTTAAGTAAAATTTAAATAACTATAGAGCAAATAAATAAAAATGTAGAACAGAAACAAATTTCACTGAGGCAATAAATTTAATTTGGCAATAAATTATAAGGATATTTTTTAAATATTTTTTAAAAATTCTGCATGTATTTCAAATTATTTTAATAATTCTATATATAAATTTTTCTACATAAATCAATTTTCCTTTTTTAATAAATTAAATACCATAATACTTTAATAAAATTTCATCGTCATTGTTTTAAATGTTTTCTACAAAATTTTTCTAATTATTTTATTACTTAAATACATATTATTATTTAATTTCAATTATAAATAGAAGTCACGTGCCGTGCCATGTAGTGTTAGCAAATTCATTTAACACGATATTATAATTTGTGTATATATAAGGACAAAATATATATATATACATATATATGAAAATATTTAATGTTAATAAGTATAAGAAAATAGAAGAAAAAACTTTGACTGAAAGGTAAATAAAGAAAAAAAATTGGTAAAAAAATGTTAACAAGAACTCGCCCAGAAAATTTTATTTTCTATATTTTTGACATGCACCACCAGAGTACACAAAATTCTCGTTTCGAAAAAGGAAAGGGGTTTGAAACTTTCCTCCTTTTTTTTTTCTTTAATTACAAAAGTAAAACGAAAAATGATTTTTTTTTTATTTTTAACTTTTTTTTCCATTCACTTTTTCTTTTAACTCTAATAACTCATATTTCGTGAATAAAGTAATTATTTACTTTAAGAAATTTTTTTCTTCTCATTTTTACTTCTGTTTCTATGCTGTTTTGTTTTGATTTTTTATTGTTTTTATTATTTTTCAAGTATAATAACATTTATTATTAATTAGCTTAATTGCACTTCCTGTATTTTTTTTCCTTTTTTCCTTTTTTTTTTTTGTATTCCTATATATGTTAACTAGGAATAAAACAAAAACGGAAAGAGAAAATTTTATTTGTACGTACCTGTACACGTTGCATATAAAGGTGCACACACATTATATTTATATAGGGGCCATAAATTTGTATAGAAAAAAAAAATTGTTTAAAAACTCGGTATTTGGAATTTAGGGGAAAAATTAAAAATCTAGGGAATGTTTACACTCGTATATTGTGTACATATGTAGGTAAAGGTAGATGCTGGTACGAAAATTAAATTTAATAAAAAAAGTAACAAAGTTTTTTTAAAAGAAAAAAAATTATTGATGGTAAAAAAAATTTAAAAACAATTTTTTTTTTTTTTTTTTGTGTTCTTCTCAATTCTGAAAAATTTTGATTTATTAAATTTATATTGTGATTTAAATCTTAAATTGTTCCCAACTTATGATTTTATACAATGTAGGTTAGTAATAAAAATGACGATCTATGTAAATAAGTTTAAAAGAATTTTTATAAGAAAGAAAAAATGTTTTGTTTAAAGAAAGAAAATATGGTGTATATTTTTTATTTTTTGTTGTTGATATTATTGGGAAAAAGAAAAATTATAAAAGGAGTTAATTACAACGTACACACTGCAATTAATTATTAAGTTTAATAGAAATCAGTCATTAAACACGATCAAATGAATGAACAGATTTTTTTTAATTAAAAATTGTAATTGAAAACTTAAATAAAAAAAATGAGTTTTAAATAGAAAAATTAAATTAAAAATTGAATAAACAAAAGCTGGGTTTGAAAACTAGCACTTTGTTGCCTAGGAGAAAAATGTCCACGTACGGAATGAAAAAATGAAAATAGTAATCATTTTTTTCAAAAATTTTTTTTTTGAAAATATGGTGGAAATTGAATACTTCGATGGTGAAAATTGAAATGTGGTGAAAATTGAATTTTAAATTACATAATGCGTTTTGGAATGTGTTTTTAGAAGCGTTCTTAATTCAATATTGTTTCTAAAAAATTTTGTAGCGTTTGTTGACTCTTATAGAGTCTGTGTTTGCTTCTTATAGAGTAGAATATACATAATGGGTCTAATACAATTGGAGTAATTATTTAGGAGTGATTATTTGTGATTTAAAGTTGATTTCATTGATTTCATATTGTCTACTTTCATTCTTTCTTTAAATCTGGTGAATCTTAAATATTGATTTAAACAAATAAGACTTTAACATTTAAATAACATTTTTCCTCTTAGTTTTAGGGTTTTGCATCTTTTTAATAAGAATGATTATTTAATTTTTTTTTAATTTTAAATAATTCTAGACAAAGGAAAGTCCCAAATTAATTCAGTAAAATGCATTGAAGAATCGCGATCATAGACAGCAGATAATGTTTGAAGGGTTCAACGCTTAGAATTTTAAGATATTCAGATTTCTTATAGAAAAACTTTATTTTTAATTCTGACTTTGTTAAGCTTTAATTTTTTCGGAACAAGTCTGAACCCGATTTCCTAACTATTTTTAAATTTTAATGTAAATGTTTAAAAATTGAATTGCATTAATCTATAATTTTTTAAATCACTAAAACCAAATTTTTGTACTCCCACAGGGGATTTTATTTAAACTATAAAAAAAAAATATTTGAAAAAGTTTTCAAGAAGTTTAAAATTTTAATTTTTCAATTTTTTACAAATATTTTTTAATAAAAATTTTTTTATTGAGTTTATTTGATCTATATTGAGTTTATTCGGTTGAGAAACGAAAACACAACTTTTGATTTTAGAATTTTAGCATAGAAATTCGAAATATTTACCTATTCTTTAAGGAAAACATATAAAAACGGCTTTCTTAAATATAGCCAAATTAATTTGGATGATCTACAAATTTCAAAACAATGTATTAGATTATATTAGATTAGATATGGGGTAATATTGCATTTCAACCCAAAGGTTGCCGGTTAATTGTGCCTCCTTTCCATCTATCACCTCTAAAGCGATCCCTCGAGACGTTCTGACAAATGTTTATTGATCTGATTGATATGAAGATATTTTACGAACACTTGCTTGTAATATAGTTTTCTTTTCATATTTTTAAAGAAATTCATTTCTTTTGCAACTTTATTAATTGAAATCTAAAATTTTTGCAATGAAATTGAATAAAACTAATAAAAGTTAATATAAATTGCAAATTTAAAATAATTGCAAATGGGAATCTATTTTTATGTAATTAAAATATAAATAATTATTTTTAAAAATTAAATTGATTTTATATTTTAAAATAATTTTTTAAAAATACGATATAAATAAGTTATTCAAAATTAATTAAAAAAAAATTTGTTTCCAAATTAATTTTAAATATTTGTAAATTATATAGCCAATCGATATGAAATAGAGTTGCCAAATAGTTCATACAACAATGTTGTTAAATTTTAAATTTCATTTTGATGATATTTTGGATTAATTTTTCATTAAAATTTAGTACAAGGTTATTGCAATTTTTTTCTTGATTTTTTAAAATAAATTACTAGAAATGCTGTGATATAGAACATTATGGTTGCTCTTTAGCAAGTATTTCATCATTTTTATCAATATTTACTTAATGATATTGTAATTTTTCTTATATGTATATCCTTTCGACGGATTGAATTTTATCTACACTTCAATAATTTTTTGTATACGTATAACCTTTATTACAAAAATGATTTTT